AGACAGTTAGACGCACCAAAGCCGCTTGGAAAGTCAAAATAACTCGTGTCATGCCGGGGAGTGGTGGAGTGCTGATCAACATTGCCAACGTCGCTTGTCCCTTTTCTTCGAAGTCACCGCACCTGCGTCTCGCTCGAGGTCCCCACGGTCGTGACGAAGTGCATCAGCTGCTTGGCCGCTTCCGTCTTGCCCGCACCGGACTCCCCCGTAACGATAACGCACTGGTCCCTCGAGTCGGCTTGCAAGCTCTTGTACGCTTCCGCCGCCACGCGGTAGATGTGCGGAGCCATGAAATCGCCACCCCCCTGCACAGGCACACCAAGCAGAGCAAAGCAGTGCAAAGCAGTGCAAAGCAGTGCAAAGCAGAGCAAAGCAGAGCAAAGAAAAGCAGAGCAAAGAAAAGCAGCAGAGTGAACCAGAGCAGCAAAGCGAAGCAGCGCGAGAATTTGGGGGTGCGGGGTTTCTCCAAAGGCTTGTGCACCGTTTCGTCGGGTGCCACACTAGCGGCATCGGTGCCGTCCCCGCTACCGGTAGGTACATACCACGCAAGAATCGATTCGATTCCATAGAATGGCTACCACCCTGTCGCAGCAGCTAATAGCGGTCAACCGGACGTGTGACAGATAGCTGGCGAAGACAGAGCCGAGAGAAAGCCGAGGGCGTACGACCGCTGTCGTTCAGAGCAACAACAACCGCACCTAACGCGGCATCCCGCCCACCCAAAACCAGGCACAGCAGAATCCACTACGGCCACACTACTGCTACACAGCTGTTACAAGCTACCAATATTGTGCTACGCGTTTTCGAAGCACGGCTGGATGGCACAATCCAATAGAGTACCTTTCGGTGGTAGTAGTCCCTGACGCCCGACGTGTAGATGCCCTTGCCCCCCATGCTGAGCTGCTTGTAGGGATTCACGGCGATCAGCACCGGTCCGATCGAGGTGTACATGTCTCCCTTCTCGCACCTCGTGCGGAGAACCTGGTGACGGGCATCGCGTGGCCCCGAGATGCGCAGCAACGGTACAGTAGCAGAAGGAGGAGCAGGAGTTGGGTGCGTCGTCGGTTAGGGAGAAGGGCAACGGTGGTAAGAGCGACCGGGTGGCTTAAACATATGGGGACATGCCATGTGGAGCAAACAATCTGGTGTGGGCGGGGAATGCTGCCCCTGGAATGTTTTGTTTCCAGTATAGGGTACGTGGTTTAAGAGACCACAGGCGGGCAGGAGTATTGAGGTTCTTCAAAGTATCGCTGGGAGGAGAATGCTTGCCATGGTTCAGCGTATGATATTTCAGGCCGTGTACGAACCCCCCTACAGACGCAGGCTTGGTTGTTTTGGACCCGCACGGCCGACACATGTCGCCAGCTTCGCAGGTCGGCGCGGGACGTGTGATGTGTTGATTCCTTTGTCGGGTGGGCGCAAACTACATTGTACTGAAGTCTCAGTCCGAACCCGCCCACCGCATTCCGCACGACGAAATGGCGTTGATTGAGGTTTTCGGCGTTTTGAATACATCATGATCGGGGGTGTTGCTCTCTCGGGGGAGAGGTGGTATCTTCAGTGACCCTGATACTTGATCTCATTGTACTGGGCTCATGACATCATCACCGTGTGTGGGGAGTGGTGGGGGTGTTCTCATGCGGAGAATGCGTTTCATTACATAAGTGAAAATGAGAAAATGTGACGCTTCGCACAACCACGCCATACGTGACACTATAAGACTCTAGAGGATATGGATAACGTCGGGCGCACTTTGCGGGTCCCCCTTCCTCCGTTGCCGTTCATGGGTCAGGTCAGCTATTGTCTTCACCGTCACACCACAGTATTGTAACGTCAGCGTCGAGCCGTACGAAAACACCTCCTTTCGTCTGGGCGAACAACGGCCAAACGGTCGCGTTGACCCGCAAACTGGACTGAATTTGATAGAGTTCCACATTAGGGCATGTGCGTATGGAGAGATAAGACAAAGAGAACGAGAGAGGGTGTGTGTCAAGAAAAGGACAAACAACCGCTGTTGCGGCCTTGTGCGCCGCGGTGATGTTGGGCCTCCAGACTTGCAAGCAAGTTCGTAACAGCTCATGTTCATGCTGTGCATGGGCCCTGGCCATGTTGTCCAGGGGTCATACTTGTACCGGGATTCGTAGTTGTTCCACTTGCTCACTGGAGGCGGCCGCGAGGCGGTTATTCCAGGACTAACTCCTGTTACATATTTCCTTTTTCTTCACTTTTCTTACCCCGAAGACGTCTACTTACAGCCCCCGGTGTGTGTGCTTTTCCTTTTGAAAATCTGCCCCGATCAGTTGATTGCTCCTGCGGTGATCGGGTTCAGCAAACACTACCGATCAGCTCCTGGGGATAGTTCGAGGATGTTGCGACAGCAACTCGGATATAAACTCTCGCGTGTGATGTTCTGAAAGGATTCGGTCGATCGGCAATGGCTGCGGCCATGTATTATTAGTGACGACATCCAAAACGTTGCCAAGTTCATCAAGACGAGTGTACAACCTACGCCACAGCTGCGAAGCGTGTGCTCCGAGACATGCTCCTATGTAATCAAGTATCCCTCCGATCTGAGCCCTACAGAGTGAGCTCATGAATGGATGCTACTATTCACAATAGCTTAATTGCTCACTTTGACGAACTTGGGGCAAGTTTCATCGTTGTGCTGGCCCTTCTTATCCCCCCGCGCTGTTGACATGTTTGTAATGTTAACCGTTCATATGTATGCATACCAATGGTGTTGACGTCATCCTCGTGATGGGAGTTCCGAAACTATAGCAGCCCATTGCATGTTCGCCTAGGCATATTCAGGACCTACCCCCTGCCTGTACATAATCATCTAAAAAAATTTTGCCTGTGGCCAAGAACTGAATGCTGCTTGCCTCCATCCACTTCACACAAGTCAACCTTTATCTGGTGGCGACAGCCATGCAATTATGCAATGGATGCCGCGCTTATATCTTACTTGATGACTACACTTCGTACTCCGTATGCAGCTCACCTGGCAGCATTATCAATCGGAAATAATTACGGCGAGTGTGCTCTTTGCTGGTCTCTGCTGTACGCCTAGTGAAGAACAGGAATTAGATTACTATGTCCTTCCTTCCTCTGTTTGTGTTTTATTAGGTGGTATCCGTGAGAAGCACGGCCACCATGAAAGAAAGCCGTGGCTCCATATGTCAAGACAGGGGCTAACAAACTACAACAAACTACCAAGTACTCCCCTATTTTCTGAGGAAAAGCTGAAGATTTTCAATTTTTGCTGCGAGGAAGGTTTGCAGCACAGGTAGGTGGTGGATAGATGGATGTTTTCGCTCAAGCGTTGTGGCTGGCGCCTTGGGGCCCTCACGTGTATGTGGACGTGTACTTAAATCCGTCCAAGGGCAGCGGTGATTTCTTTCTCAACGTCAAACGGAGCATTCCATGAGTAACGAGGCTACAGCAGCAGTACCGGAGTTGATGGGATGTTGAAAGAGAAGGTCGAAAATCGGCGGTCGGGTCGATACTGCTTTTTTTCCGTGAGAGGACAGACATTGTGTGCTGTGTGCTGGGAAGCAAAAGAATGCTGGAAGTGCAGCAGCGGTCAACTGATGCTCCGCCCCATCCCTCGACCACGAGTGGACAATAGAGAACACAGCAGCACAAGTAGTTATCGCTGATTGCGGACAGCTCGGCGTCTTCAAGCGGTTCATGCTGACACGTCTAATCACGAATCACGAGCTGGACTATGTACATGTCTCTTGTATGAGGCGCAGTCATGACAGCAAAACACAAACCGAAAAAATGCGGGGGAGATCGGTTGACACATTTCGTCCGTATTGAGCGGTTGCTCTTGACCATGCGTGCGTTCACGCGCGAGACAAGCCACCCTACTTGGCCATGCGCAACAGGCAACAGACGTACACCGACAGCGACCCCGAACTACAGCAGTAGCAGCGAACCTTGACAGACGCATGTCATGATGTACACAAACACATGGAGCGGCCGCACAAAAAAGTGTCCGTTTGCCGCCGTCGAGCCAAGCCATGAATCGGAACACCCGAAGCGGGCTTGATGCACACGCCTGGGAAAATCATCGCCGAGACACCGAGAAGCCTCTCCTGTCCTCGGTTCTCACCTCGACGATGCCCTCATTGCTAACGTTCTCGAGCAGCACCAAGTCATCCACGCTTCCCCTCGAGTTCGCTTTGTCGTAGAACTGAGAATAGTCGATGGCATCCAAAGCCTTTGCCGCGCCGCGGGCAGCAGCGCGCGGAGCCGAGCCGACGGGGACGTGCTCCGCCTTCCCGGACGCCTGCTTCTTCTTCTTGCCCCAGAGCGAGCCCTTGCGCCCCCTCATGGCTCGCATGCAGCTCGGCCGAGAGAAGAGAGGGAGGGATGAAATCAGAACAATACGTCCCTCTCCTTACTAAGTAGCGACGGCGTATTGTGTTCGTCCTACGAGCAGTCTCCCGCTCGGAATGACAAAGACACTGACGGATGTGCAGCCGCAGTAGCTCTGACTCGGGCTGGCCGATCCGTACGCCTCGCGAGGCTAGAGCGTGCAAAGAGCGGGGTGACACCTGTGTTTTCTTCGACAACCCTCCGGCAGCGGTGGGTGTGCAGACGTGCGTATTCTCGAGACACCAACCACGCACTGCCCTGTTATTTTGAAAAGAAGCTTTGATGAAGACAGAGAGATAGCAGTGCAGACCATCAACAGAAGAAAACTGGGCAACAAGATGAGGTGGGATTCCTGCAACAGTCCTTTACCGACGGAATCACCCTGCTCTCTCCATATCTCTCTCTCCTCCACACCAGCACGTGACAACATCCAACATCTACAGCAGCAAGAGCATCGACGATGTTGGCAATGCGTTCCTCCTCTCTCTACCACACTCATTGCATGTATTCAGACGTTAACATGGACGACACATGTACCCGCGTAGGAGAGAGAGAGAGAGAGAGAGAGAAAGGCAGGCAGATCATGCAATGAACCAATCAATCAATAGATTCGGGAGAAGATCACAATCGTTGCGGCTTGTACAGCAGACAGAGCAGTATCTGCTGGGTGCACTACAAAGTCTGGTTATGACCACACTCACAATCTCTGGCGCGATATGGAGGAGACGAGCCCACCGACAAACAATAAAAAAGGTGATTTCAATGCTGCCGGTCGCGAAGAAAACATACAGCTTGAGCAGACATATAGAGAACAAGTGTAGGAACTTTGACGGAGCACTGAATCTTGTGTAAATTCGAATGTTCGAATCCCCACGGGTCAACGTGATGCAGATATTCCGGATTTATTTCTTGTCTACAGCACACCGCAGTACCAACGCACCGACGCTTTTGCGGCCAAGGCAGACTGAGAATCTTCTCGCAACGGCAAACATAGAAACGCCTTAACAAGCCTTCAGAAAAAAATAACCACACCCAATTCTACTGTCAAACCGGCGGAATTGGAGACTTCGCAAACAAGATACTAGTACAACTTAGTATATCTACAGCAGCAGCAGACTACAGCAGTGTAGAGCTGCTATTTCCCCAGTGTGGACAAGGGCGTAAGCCCACCCTGTCACCCCATTGGCCATTTAGAGGACAGGACGTACACATGCCTTCGAGCGGAGTATTACTACCTCGAACCCATGGAGCATCTCCTAACTTCCAAAATAACCTCTTGATCTAATCGCATTGCTGCCTCTGCTGTGGGTGATGTCCGCAGCTGTGTTCCCGGCGTCACCGGTGTTCTATTATTCCACATCCCGTCGCTTCGTCGGCGGTACGAAAGTTGACCTGTCTGAGGGACATACCTAAAAATTGCAAGCCACGCTGAACACAAGGCACCCGATACTGGAGATCCCGACGATGAATTACAGTGCTTACATCTCATCTAGATGCATACATACCACAAAAAAAAAATACTGCTGTATGAATACGCTCCAGAGAACGAAATCGCAGACAGGAGACAGACGTGCACAGTCTAATAATTACTAAACCAGAAATTAAAATAATGCGGGACAAGGCGGCTTCGCAACACACGCCAGTTTATGTTTGGAGTAGGTTGGAGAGTTTGTAGGTCAACATCATTCGGAATCCGAATGATGTTGACCTACAAACTCTCCAACCTACTCAACAAAACAGACGGGTCTTAAAAACTCAGCAGACCTTCACGCCTGTACAGCCTCACCAAACGGTTAAACTACGCCGACATCTATGAACCCGTGCTATGCACCCAGCGCCATACCAATGTCCCAATGCCAAACAATAATGCTTAGCTGCAAACTCTCCACACCTACTCAACATAAACTGACGGGTCTTCAAAAATCAGCAGACCTTCACGCCTGTGCAGCCTCAAATGAACCGGTACTCAATACCCAACGATAAAAGACAATGTTCCAATGCCAATTCCATCTGGTACAGGAGTGTATCCCACTCGCGAAGTCGTCAATACGGTCTTCTCTCTCGAACCTGCGTAATTTCTCCAGCATTTCTTGCCGCAATCTGCTACAGCCACAAAGCAGCACAACCACCTAGTTACGACGTGCGAACCAACCGGACGAGAAAGCACGCCGGGAAGCAAACGGCAAGGGCCGTCGGGAAGAAAAGTAACCGGGGGGGGCGGGGGNGGGGGGGGGGGGGGGGGGGGGGGGGGGCGACGACGGAAGAACAGCAGTGCCACCAAAACGCTATGTCGAAATGATTCGCTACAAAGTGCTAACCGCTAACCGCTCTCGTTGTTTGAACACACCGCTGCATCGACGACATTTAACAAAACGGAAGCGCTACAGGGGAAGAGAAAGCCGTGTTCCCGCTTCAAAACCTTTGCCAGTCCTCGCAATACCCGTCCGTCGCGTACGGACAACACAGCATGACGCACATGGACATGCCCGCTCGAATCGCCGTCGCGGCGGCCCTTGCGTATACCCCACACCAACCCGACTTAGAACTGCTGCCTATCCCCTACTACGCTAAAAAAAAACCAAACCACCCAATCAAACACGCACCTGGCATGCATACAAGATAAAGCGGCCGACCACGCAGAGACCAATCTCTTGTCCATACTACAAGCCCCCTCCCCCCTCCTCTGCGACCGCGGGTGAATCGAGTCCACACCCTTAACACGGCCAAGTCGCTCAAACGACGGAAACAAACCAGACCACCTTCAGCCTTCACGAAGTCCTCCAAGCTTCAACACTTCCCCCTCGTAATCCCACCGCCTCCCCGCCCACCGCGCCCGCCCCTTCGCCCCAACCCCCCACCCCTACCCCGGGGCCCCGCTGAACCCCAAGGCCCGCCGCCTCGATGGGGATGAGATCGTTTTCGACGCGGCAAGCTAAAGTGGTTTTGCAGAGATGGAAGCCCCAGGTGGGGGGGGGGTCCACGGCCGCCGCCTGGCCCCGGCAGGTGTGGGGGTGACAGTGGTGACATCGGGCTGCCGGGGGGGGGGGGACTCATGTAAACGCCATTGGGGACGGGGGGGCCGTAGAGGGGTGCTGGGAGAGGGGCGAGCGCCACGCCCGCTGATATCGTTGCTCTCTGGTGGGCGTTGAGGAGCAAGTTGGTGGCGGTCTCGGTGACGATGCTCGACAGGAAGGCGATGGTGGCGTCACCGTGTGGAGCCGACCGGATCAGCCGCAGGACGGGGTTGTCGGCTGGCTCGCCCGAGCCTCCCTGTGGCTGCAGCACGTTGTTGAGGAGGAACTCCACCACCGTGAAGGTTTGGAGGCGGAGCTCGGAGGGGACGAGCACCTGGGAGGGCGAGAGGTTCATCGGAGGGTGTAAGGATGCTTGTCGATGCCATGGGCGTCACCTCTTGGGCAAGACCGCAAAATGGGCCAAAAGAGGTACTGCTGCACTGCCTCTTTGCCTGTTTTTCATTGGATGTCAACAGCGCGGTGTGTCGGTCCTGCCCCATGGTTTGGAACCCAGCAAGCACACCGTAACGCCTGAAACCGTCAAGAACATCCCTGGCACCTGGAGCACAGTATGCAAATACAGCTTCTGCCCCATGCACCAATTCCTCTTCGAAAAATAGCGACAGCAGCACCGCCGTGCACCAACCACAGCCTACTCACCACTTCCATGACCACGCGTTCAGCCCCCGGGGGAGCACCATCGAAGTGCTTCCGCAGCATGGACGAGCCGTCTAAAACGCTGTCGAGAAGGGCGCACCGTTCGGGACAGCCGGTCGCGACTGCTGAAAAGAATCGCGCCTCGTCTTCCCCGAACGCACCCGCGAAAGCCCTCGACGAGAAGCTCAGCGCACCCCCCCGGAGGACGTTTCCTTGGAAGTCCCTGAGGCGTCCGTCGAACTCGCGCACGACCTGGCGTTTGCAGTGTTTCGGGGATGTCGTGTAGCCATTGTTTCGGTAAAAAGTAACTGGCCAACACGGCTCAATGCGTAGGAGTCGTTAGGTCAGCATGTGGGGGGAAAGTAGCGGCATTGACGTACTGCCACCGTCGCCCACGTACGTAGTTTCGCTGACACCGCGCGAGAAGATAACATGGGCCCGAGTGACACCGACTGCTATCCATTCGGCCGACTGGCGTCGTGGCTAGCCGCAGCGTCTTTAGCGGGTAGCGTTTTTGGTTCGCATGTGCTAACGATGCTGACGTTTTTATGAACGAGGTGACAGATTCGTTGAGCACCCCAATAACGCCTCCGCTCCCAAAACTTAAGCCAGCAGCGACCCCCGAAAATAACAGGATGCAGTTCGAAACGTGCTGCAAAAGCAAAGGCAGAGCGACCAAAGATCTCCAAGCGCACACCTCGAGGGGGTCTCGGTCCGAACCGTTTGCAGCACGCGACAGCGGAGGAGAAGCAGGGGCATCGCCCTGCATTGGTTGGGCCGCACGACCACCACCACCTTCTACCCTGTCCGCGTCGCGTTTAGCAATCTGCGTGAGCCTTTGGCGAATAGTACAACGTCCGGGTGTGGGGGAGATCTCCTTGGAAGGTTGCTGTGTGATGTTGACTTCTCGTTGGAGGTAAGTTTTCGGCGGGACAAGGCGAAAGCAGGACTAGAGGCTACGACGATATTACATGGATTTGGCCGCAATGTCGAATGTTTCCTGGTATTGCAAAGGCCGCGCGTGTGTCCGAGAGCCAAGCCGCTGCCGCAATACATCCATGGGCACAACGCCAAATACGCTCATCCACTCGGATGCTACGTCGTTCTTGCTCACCGACGTCATACTGGGGAACTCCTCGAAAAAATGTCAATGCCACTGTTGAACTATTCAAAAGAGATGAACCAAACCTTACCTATACGAGAAGCGCGCACTACACCTGGAAAGCAGAGGCCCATCCCCGATTTCCAACCGTAACCTTAACGTGCAGCAGCTACAGGACGTGCCAACCGTGCGGCGGTCGAAAAAAAAAACACACACACACACGACAACCTGCGGCTGCTGCAATCGTAGACCGGGCGGCGATTGCTATTTACCTGTGCGCGAGGTTCATGAGCTTGCGGGGGCCCTCCGCCGGCGGCCCCGGCGGCGGTTCCATCGCACCGTGCGGGTGCGAATGCGGGTGACGAGGGTGCGGCGGCTGTCGCGGCACCTGTAATCGCCGGTCGTGCTTGTAGGACGGGATGACTCTGGCCAGGATGGCGTGAATCGGTTCGAGGTCTGAGCATCCCCCGGCATCGACGTAAACGGCGCCTGTCCACGGAAGGAAGACGCTTGTGGGATGATGATGATCACACCGGGTAAGGCCAAGAGAAAAGGGCGTGCCATACGACGGCCGCTGCTGCTCCAACACCCCCATCAGGAGCTTGCGGGAAATTTCGGGTTGACTGGCCCAAACACACTGTTACGCCTAGCCAACCTTGCCAGCCACATGCGAAGGAATCGAGGTTTGCTCTGTGCAGTGCGAAATGAAAAGCACGCTGTGTTTCGTGGTGTGGCTGCGGCCGGCAACCTGCCGTGGACATCGTCGGGGTGCCATGTACACTGCCCACGAAAAGTTTAAAAGTTACTTCAACAAGAAGTGACGGCAGTGGCGCCACGGATCATTTTGCATGGAACAGGATGATTTGGTTCATCTTGGTGTTGATTGAATAAGCCAAGGAGAAGAAATCGCCGTCGTAACATACACACGGGTCACTCACCCAAAACAGCCTCGAAGCAATCCGCAAGAATCTTGGTCCCTCCCACCGGCTGACCGTGCCCGATGCGAAGATAAGGTAACTGTCAAAGGCAACAGCGGATCCCATACTTAGCGCGCGGGGACTTGTAACATGGTCAAGCGCGAGCAGCAATATTGTTGTTGAGGAGGATGGTCATCCCGTTGAACGGTCAACAAAAGCAGAAACGATACTGGCGAGACTCCATGCATGCTGGAAGATCAGAAAATACGAGGCGGGAGAGCCGACCTCTGAATATAGGCAACACAACAACCCAGCGGACTCCTGGCACATGGTGGTATGCAGTGGAATTACATACCCAGTAAATGGGCCGGAGAGAAGTGACAATGGTTGGATTTAAGATGCAGGCACTGCCGCAACAATCGCAGCAGCAGTAGTAGCAGCAGTGGCAGGAGCAAGCAGCCCAGCTGTGATTACTTGCTTGCGTGAACATTGACTCCCCAAGAGTTCGGCATGCCACGGGACGTACTGTAAATACTGTGCGTCTTTTATACCTATTTTATCGTGTTGACTGGGCGGCTGCCTGAATGGTGCGACGTAACTTCTCGAAACGTTGGTGGACTAACCTACAACGGTGGTCAACATCCGCGAAAGGAATGCAATTCACCTAACAGAAGCGCAACGATTCTTCTCGCGCGGTCAGCACCGAAGCAGTCTCAATGGTTGAAATTCTCAAATTTTGGCCTCGACTTCAGTAGCGTAGAGAAAGTCATTCCATTATAATGCTCGAAGAGTTTCAAATGAGTCGCCTCGACAAACTGCGTTCCATACTCTGGCCTACGTCGGTGTAACCTATTAGCATTCGTGTATGATACCCTGCTGTGTCAAGGCTTTGAAACCTTTCTCGAGGCCCCGCCTCCGGTGGGAGATGCTTGTTTGGTATCGTTGCACGGGCAGGTTTAGTACAGTACAATACTGCCAGTATTTTCAGTATTGCAGTACCTTTGGCCATAATATACTGTACTGCACGCTTTAGTACAGCTTTCGATACTGGAATAAAAATACTGCACGCTTTAGTACAGCTTTCGATACTGGAATAAAAATACTGCACGCTT